CTGCGCTTTTTCTCTACTCCTGTTCTCTTCTTTGCCAAGCTTAGATTGATTCATTTAAGCATTCTGATTTGTTTTTGTTTTAAACTTGGGTGATCTGGGGTTGGGAAGGATGAAGAATAAGGAGAATATCAAAACTAACTGTTCTGATCTCACAGCAGCAGATTCTTCTCCCCCTCTCATGCCACCAAGAGACCAGGCTTTCCTTGTGCTTTGTGGTGACAGAAGTTGCTTTATTTCCTTTTCTGCATTTGAGCTAGGGACTGTGCATTCCATAGGTTTCATCCCAACCATGTCCATTCGAAGTGGAAAGTAGCCGTCTTGTCTGTTCAGTAGCCTCTCAGAAATGAGTTGGAACTGTCCAATTCCCAGTGAACAGATGTTCCAAGTGACAGCACCGTTACAGTTTGCACTAATTGTCAGTTTCGGTAACAAGGCCGATGAATGAATGGGTATGAAGCCCATGCTGTATGCTCGTCACTACAGATGCAGACCAGGGCTGAAGTATATTAGTGAGGGGCATGGAAGAACATTGTGATTTCCCTGCCCTTTCTGTATCAGTTCTGGGGATATATAGAGGATTTCAGTCTTCTCAGCTGTCAGCCCAGACTTTGCACCAGTGTTTAAGGCACTTAACATAGACCTTTACCAAAGCCAAATTTTGGAAGACCCAAGAGGCTGTAGGGCACTGTTAATTGATGGACTTGTGGCTCATGGCACACCTGAGGTAAGCATTAGTCAGCTGTATCATATAGGCTATGGTCTTACTGCTGAATCTTGTGGCACATGACCTTTTGGACACATGATGGTTTGTTTCCAACAACCTGATGACATTGTTCCATTGTTTATGAAGATTTATTTCAACTGCAGATATACATGCTATATGTGCAGCTGAAATATTACCCCCACCCCAAAAGTTAAGCCTGTGGTGGCTAAAAAATGTGGTATAGCTCCTGTGATTTCTCCTCCTCTCCCCCCCCCAAATAAACTATGTATAGCAAGAATTTATACTAAAACAAAACATACTAATAAGCTTGTGGAAAGGTGAACTGTCAAGCTAGCTGGACACAAGATACTATGTGTGTTCGACAGCCCAAGCCAACTTCTTTGTTTAAAACCACAAATTAAACTTAGCATACCCACCAGTACGCCTGTAACTATTGCCTGCTCTGAGCAAAAAGCCTGGAAAAAATTGTCACCGTGCCAGGGTGCCGTCTGTCATAGTCAGGACTAGTAGGGAAGTGGAGCTTTGCAGATGCTCTCAGAGGTTATTTTGCTTGATGGTAAATAATCAATTTGATTAGACTGTCGAGCTTGTACTTCATTTTATTTTTCATTGTGCCATCGAACTCGGTGTTTCTTAGGACTGTAATAGCTATAAATAGCTGCTGTTGTGTATACTGTGGACAGAGAATTCAAGCCAAGATGCAGCCGTATGCTTTAATAAAGGAGCAGAGGTGTACATTTTTCCCCTTCCTCCCCAGCAGATGGTAGTTTGCTTTTGCATTGGTTTTCTCCCTGCAATGTCTTTGAAGGTCAGAGGTCTGAGAATCAGTTTCCTGGTTGGTGCGTATGCTCTTTATTTTAAAATAAAGGGTTTTTTTAATGGTACATTAATTTTTAAACATTGGAGTACTGATTTTTTTTTGGCCACGGTATGCCTTTAAAAGGGAAACAATGTATCGCATGGGAGTAATGCTAGTCGGAGTTTGTACAGATAACAGTAACAAAACCTCCTCAGGTAAGACAGGATTTTCAGTTTTAATAACCTAGCCCTTTACCTGGCGTAGTAATATTTCTCATTCAGCAGCAGAAGGCTGAGAGTATAAATTGAATCCAAGTAGATGAATAGCTGCCATCAGTTTAGTTCTGCTGTACTAGAATCCACAGGGCAGCAAACGGTAGCGGAGACAGCAGTTCAATTAAGATTGTGGTACAAATAAATCCATTGCTGTGTTTTATAGGCTTCTGGTTATAAACCTCTTTCTTGGGGCAGAGAGAGCTGACGTGTCAGCAGTCTGCCGAGTTGCTCTGACATAGTGTTCTGCGAAGAGCAGTCTGGTGAGGAGACTTCTACAAATACAGCTCTTGCCGCGGCCCCACTTTACTTAAAGTAAACTGTCTCCTGGACAGTTCATCTGCCTCCAGAAGTGCTGCTGTGCTTTCCTAGCCCAGGTGGCTGGAGAGTTCTTCTGAGGTCAGGTGCCCTCCAGGTGATTCACACTGGTGTAGACAGTAATTCCTCATTCCACATGTGCCTGCTTAACACATTTTCGCGATAGCATGATTTTTTTGGGGAACGTTTTTTGAATTACACGACTGTCCCCGGAATAACACGATTTCCCCAACCAGCCCGTCGCTGGAGGCTGCACGGGGCTTCCCCTGCCTCCCTGCAAAGCGACAGAGAGTTTGCTGCTTGCTGCACTGTTCCCCAGGAACCCCCCCTCACCAGACGCAGTGCCAGTCCCGGCATACCCATCACAGGGGCAGACTCCCAACCCAATTCCCCTCCCTTCTCCTCCCCTTCCCTTCCCAAGAGCCAAACACCTCCCCTCCCTGCTGTAACCCAGTCCCCTTTCTCCCCCAACCTTACGTCCCGGTCCCAACAGACACCACCGCTTGAAACGCAACCCGCACCTTTCTCATTATTTTCAATGGGAAAATTGACCCCGCATAACACGTTTTCACTTAACACGATCATTTTCTGAAACATATCTATAGTGTTAAATGAGGAATTACTGTACTAGGGATGTTAAATATCGGTTACTTGAATAGTCGATTAACCTCATGAATTCTTGTCAGTTACTCGAATATTCTGGCTGCCAGCCCCACTCCGGAGACAACAGAGCAAATGTAAATGAAAGTTGTAACAGACGAGGTGTAAGGTTTGATGGTATGTTGCATTTTTAAGGCTCTACCGTTTCGAAGATGGAGTGTAAACTGGTACACTCATGTCATCCTGAACATGCATGCAAAGTGCTCAAGGGCCTTTGCAACTGCTCAATGTACCACCTAGTAGCATTGTTTGAAAGCAAGACTAGTCACGTTTTCCCATGGGCAGCAAGAAACTATAAGTCATTGCCACTGCTTGGGACAGTTAAATGCCTAATTTTAGACATTTTAAGTTAAAATATGTTCCAGTCAAATCACACATCGGTGGGTAATTGTTCTATTAAAAAAAACCCTCCGCAATTTGGTAGTATCTTAATTATAGTGATTTACATCCTCTCTCAATATTGGCATGAAGGACATTTTCCTTACTGAATAGGCACCGTTCCATCAGCTTCTTCAGTTTGTTTCGTTAGTGGGGAGCAGGGAGGGAATCAAGAAGATGATCTTAGCGAGTAAGGACTGAGCGTGACAAGAATAGGAAAGGATGCAGCACTGTTTCAGTACGTGGAAAGATGGCTTCCGTGTCTCTGGCTGTTCAGAGCTTTCCCCAGCTGTATTGCAGTGAAAACTGACGGATGTGTTATCATTTTGCTTTGCTACCATTCAGAGGGCAGAGTGTAGTATGAAACCCACAGTTATGCTAACATCACTTGCTGTTGCTTGGAATGCTCCTGGGTACTAGTATAGTGGGTCACTGATGTTTGTTCATTGGGGAAGGGCCCAAAATGAGGCAGCTGGTGCAGTCATGGGAAAAACACTCTGACATCAGCCAAAAAAGCCAAGGTGAGTGATGCTGCCCTCAAACATAGCAGCAGGGCCTTGGGTGTGCTTACCCAGAGATCGATCTTCTAGGGTTTGATTTAGGGGGTCTAGTAAGAACCCCCACTGAATTGACTGCTGATGGCGCCCCTGTAGATCCTGGTATTCCACGGGGTTGCGAGGAGTAATGGAAGTGGATGGGAGAGTTTTTCCTGTCAACCTCCCGCAATGGGGATACCGCAGAAACTTGACTCATGGTACATCAACTCCAGCTATGCTAGTCTGTATCTTAACGCGTATCTTAACGCAACTTTCTCCCTTCTTTCACTCAAGGGTTCCACGTTTCCATCCTATCTGTCTATAAGACAGAACCCTGGAAGGAATCCTTGCATTTCCCTCTTCTGTCCCCCTCGGAATGCTGCTCTTTTCACCAGGAAGTTGCCTCTGGATAGTAGTAGTTGTTTCTCTGACTTGTTAAGTATCTGATGCACTTTTCAAGGCATTTCTCTGAATTGACTTGTTAATGATACTCACTGTTCATAACCCACTCTCCTGTTCTTCCCTTCCGATGTCTTCTATGTTTGATCAGAGGGCTTCTTGGTTTAAGGGTTAACCTCATTATCAAGAGGCTGCTTTTTCTTCCATCTCCTACTGACATCTGTTAGAACATGCCTAGCATTTCAAGACAGAAAATGCCTTGGTTCCAGAGAACAGCCCTAGATAGAAGGCATGTTGTGTGGCTTTTATAGTTTTGATAATATACTTTTCATTTTCCTGTTGCTCATGGAGTTTGGAGGTCTTTACTGTGAGTACTAATTTGCTTGGATTTCCCAGGGTTAATGCAAAGCTGCCACACTGAAAGGGGCGAAGGGTGGAACACAGTCAATCAGCAATAGCCTGTGGTATATTATTCATACACCATGTGGTCAAATCTTTCTTACTACCTTCCCAGTGTGAGCTGTCAGCTTTGACATTTGGGTATGTCGTCATGCGGAAGGGAGAGTTGAACTGAGAAACATTTTAAATGTCTGAACAAAGGTACTATCTGCAGGAGGGAGATTATTTAGTTACGAAAGTCCATTTTCAGTAAATCGATTTTACTGCGAACGGTGGGTGGGGGGCTTGCATCGCATGATCTGTGCCTAGGAATAGAACTCCATGCTGTTTGAGTCCATTTGTGGCATCTGACTTGCCCTGGTACAGAGAGAATGTTACATATTTTTCAAACTGCACACTTTAGGAGAGAATTGTACTAGCCAAGTATCAAACTTGAAGGCATTCAGGCAGTAAAATGTCCTGTTCATAAGTGCACATGTTTTATCTAGTCCTTGATTTCTCCTTTTGCTCCTCAGTATCGAATTTGATCGGGACTGTGACTATTTTGCTATTGCCGGGGTGACGAAGAAGATTAAAGTCTACGAGTATGGCACAGTCATTCAGGACGCAGTGGACATTCATTACCCTGAGAATGAAATGACCTGTAATTCCAAAATCAGGTATGCATTGCCTTTCCGTGAGTCCCAGCATGCTATAGATTAGTGTCCCTTCTACATAATAAGTAGAGCCTTGCTTTTCTTTATCCTTTGCTCTGTGCCGGTGAAGGGGCGCTAGAAAAGTTGGATTAGAGCTTTATTTGTATTCACACTGGCGGTGGGCAGTTCAGACCTTCTCGGTTCACGTAAAATTACATGAATTGTAATGTTAGATCCTCACACCCAGAGACTGCGTTTAAAAGTACTCAAAGACTTATTGCCATCGCTTGTGGAGACGGGGAATGGGTGCATTTGACGGGCTCACGCTTTGAGAGAGCTCCAACCTGCAAAAGAGCTGCTCTGTAAAAAGAGATTAGAAACAGCACGGTCGCGATTCCAAAGGAAAGAATCGATCACGGCTAGGGAGGATGTTGGATGTACATCGCTGAAAAGGAATGGAGAGGAAAAGCATCGTGGATGGGGGAGGAGGCCCCAGAATGAAGATCTTCCATAACAGACAAATAGCTGTTACCCCATGTAATGAGCAGTAATGAACATTTGTTTCCACATTCATTTTTTTAAAGTGACCTGCTGAGCCACAGATGGGAAGGAGTAGTTGTGGATGACCGTACATTAGAAGGGGCCTAGATTTAAAGAGCATAGAGTGCTTGGTCTCCCCTATAACCTCATGGCTAGCAGCTTTCCTACTCAGTTCCCCCTCCGCTGTCCCTTATGTCCCCATCCCACTAAGATGTGCCTAATCATTGGTGTGGTATTTCCCCCCTACATATGCTGGTCCTTTGGGCTTGTTCACATCTACACGCAGGAGGTCCCGTATTTTGGTGGTCCTCTTAAGATCTGCCAGAGCAGAACTTCCTTTCTGGAATCCTGATAACCCCAACTCATGTCAAACGTTTGTCTTGCCTACTAGCAAAAACAAAAAAAGGGCATCAGGGAAATTCCCAGACAAGCTATTGGAATTTTGATTGAAAAGGGGTTTCTGTAGAATCCAGTTAACACCTTAGAACTATATCTGAATACACAAATTCTACTGCTTTCAAAATCACCCATTAAAGTCAGGGGGCGGGGGGTGTGAATCAAACCAAGTCATCGCTACTCTGTAAATCTTCATGTATCCGTCACCATACTGAACTTACTCTGACCACTCAGCCTTTGTGTGTGCTTTCTAAAATTAACAAAAACAGATACAATACTAAAAAACTAATTATAAAATCTCATTTCTTATCCCTGGGAACAGTTTCCAATAGAGCCCTAACACATACCACAGTGTCGCACAACAAGACAAATTTTCACTTACAACCTCACGCTACATAATCAGCATGCTTCATCACGCTAAACAGATCAGTCAATCCAATTCTATTCAAATAGTCTTCTAATTCAGCATATTGTATTACTACAAAAACATACAGAATAGGACTTCACTAGTTTGAAAATCCAGTGGTGGCTGGCCGTTGTACAAATGTAAAAGAAGGCAGTGTCTTTGATCCAAAGAGCTTGTTTAAAAAAAAAAACACACACAGGGTACAGTGAAGGGGAGCAACAGGCTGGTGAAGCATTCAGGAGGTGATGTTTGGCCCTATTGTGGTTATACTGTGTCTTTCCGTCTTTAACTACTGTCATCTTCTTACAGAGATCAATAAAACCAGTCTTGAGAGAAATCAGCATTGATTGGTCTAGGACCTCTAGCATTGAGATTTATGTTAATCCACCTGCTTTAAATATTCCTTGGCTTACTATTTTCTTTCCCTCCTAAAATCTATTGTTCTCTCCCCCCCCCTGCTTCTTGGGCGAGCAGTATAAATTGGTGGGTTGGAGCCATATACTGTTTGTTTCTTTCCAGACTTCAAAACATTTTTCTAAAGGTGTGGAATTTTCATAAGGACAATAACTTTTTTTGGTGCTCCTCTGAAGTGGGTTTTACCCACCAAAGCATATCATCCTATATATTTTTGGTAGTCTCGAAGGTGCCGCGGGACTACTCGTTTTAGAAGTTAGTTTGATCTGGCTACCCCTCAGACTTTTTTTGGTGAGAATGTTAATGCAGTGTCACTGAAACTCAGTTCCAGCAGGTTTGTTTTGTTTTTGTTTCGGAAGATAGCAGTGAATTAGGTGCTCGTATTGCACTTCAAATAAGAGAACTTTGAAGTGTATTTGAGGTTTTTCTGTCCCTTTGAGACTGCTTTTGAACTGAACTTGCTACTTCTAAATTTGATAATCTAACCTTGACAGCCTTCTCAGTAGAAGGTAATTGTTTACTCTCACTTCTCTGCCAGCCTCCTGTGAGGAGAGAGCTACATTAACACATTTAGTGATGTGTACTGTGTCAACTTCGTGTATGAGATGAGACACTTTTTCACAGCTTTAGGATTTTTCCTTTTTCCCCTCATCGGCTATATTTGTGTATGTGGTGTGCATGTAGACACCCCCCAAAGATGTGACCAAATTATGATTTAAAATGAAGTTTTCTGGAACTCTTTAAGCAGGGGTGGGAAGAGAAGGTCTCTTTTTTTTTTCTCTCTTCTTTTTAAGGAAGAAAGGGGAAAACAGTAAATTGGCAGCTCCTTAAACCATTAACTCCCTGCTACATGCTCTTAGTTTTGCTAGATGATATTTGGTGAATGTTGATCTTTTGTTGTGCCCATTAATTGTGGCATAGATAATAAATTGCTACTCTAGATTGCTTGGCTTTGAAGAACTTGGGTGTAGAGAGAACCATGCTTCTATTGTTTGGTAAAGTATATCCAAAACCATCCGTAGTTAATAAAAGCCTAAATTAGGGGACCCTGCTTTACCATAAGCTCTGATTTAGTGCATCTTCATAGTTTAAGTAGAGAGAACGATTGTCCAAACCACATCTGGATTTGCCAGTTGTCTTATATTTGAAAAAAAAAAAAAAAAGTCACAACCATACGCCAACTGTAATGGTGCGAGGTTGGGACCTCACCAAAAAGCAGGAAATCTGTTCATGTTTATAAAGAATTCTGCTGAAGTAATTAAAACCAGGATGTTGGCCCCGGCTGGCACTATCCCTCTTGCTACCGTTTGCTTTCTAGCAACTATATTTTGTAGTGAAAAAGCTGAGTTACCAAATGTGCTCATCCCCAAATTGTTTGACACGTACGTTATGTATAAGTGAGACCTACTCTAACGCAGGGGTTCTTGCCACTCATTTTTGGAGTGTGGCCTTTGCTGTTGGCCACTCTGACAATTTTTTCTAAGTTGCTTAAGCAAGTTCAGGAAAATGTACAGTTGCCGCTATTCTTTGCAGGACTTAAATAAGGTGCTTTGTATGTTTATCTCTTGTTGCTTTTTTGGTCGTTTTTAGATTTGTTAGCTAATAAGTCTGCTGCCGTGAAAAGTGACATTTGTATGTTTAATATCATTTTTCACAGAAACAGATTTGTTATCTAGCTGGGAGACAGTGAAAAGTGATATGAACAAACATTAAAAATATCACTTTTCATAGCAAGCTGTGGGACAAATGAAGCCCTGGATGGGGAGGTGAGTAGGGAGGCTGGGGGATCAGGGGTGACGGGGCAGGCTGCTGGTGGGGCTGGTGTACAGGCTTGGATTTTGGGGCCTGCTGTTGTGTGGTTAGGCCAGAGCCTGAAGCCCTATGGCCAAAGCTGGGAGTGGAGAAGGCCTTGGGGGCAAGGAGCGATAGGGCCAAAGCCTAGGTCTAGCAGGGGCCAAAGGTGATGGGGTGAATTGGTGAATCTGAAGCTGCATGGCCAGAGCCTGCCTTACAAGGGCAGGAGCTGCCCCTAGAATCATAGAACCATAGAGCTGGAAGAGACCTCAGAAGGCAGCAAGTCCAGCCCCCTGCCCAAGGCAGAACCAATCCCAATTAAATCATCCCAGCCAGGGCTTTGTCAAGATGAGACTTAAACACCTCTGGTCATGGAGACTCCACTACTTCCCTAGGTAACCCATTCCAGTGCTTCACCACCCTCCTTGGGAAATAGTTTTTCCTAATATCCAACCTGGCCCTCTCCCACCACAACTTGAGACCCTTGTTCCTTGTTCTGCCATCTGTCACTACTGAGAACAGACCTTTCTCCAGCCTCTTTGGAACCTCCCTTCAGGAAGCTGAAGGCTGCTCTCAAATCCCCCTTCACTCTTCTCTTCTGCAGACTAAATAGACCCAACTCCCTCAGCCTCTCCTCATAGGTCATATGCTCTAAGCATTTTGGTCACCCTCCTCTGGACTCTCTCCAATACGTCCACATCCTTCCTGTAATTGGGGGTCCAGAACTGGACACACTACTCCAGATGTGGCCTCACCAGAGCTGAATAAAGAGGAATAATCACATCTCTGGATCTACTGGCAGTGCTCCTCTTAATGCAGCCTAATAGGCCATAGCCTTCTTGGCTACAAGGGCACACTGTTGACTCATCTCCAGCTTCTCATCCACTGTCATCCCCAGGGTCCATTTCTGCAGAACTGCTACTTAGCCATTCAGACCCCAGCCTGTAACAGTGCTTGGGATTCTTCCATCCCAAGTGCAGGATTCTGCACTTGTCCTTGTTGAACTGCATCAGATTTCTTGTGGCCCAATCCTTCAATTTGTCTAAGGTGAGCAACTCACACTGGCTGCTGATAGACCGGGGGCGAGGGGTGGAAGGCTGCTGCTTCCTCTCCAGTCACCGCCTAAGAGGCAATGATTTCGAGAAGCCCCTCCCGACAGTATTTCAGTGCTGCTCTAATAGCCCCAAGTGGACCATCGTGATGGCATCACCGGTAGTCAGAAACACTTGGTAGTTAACCTCACACTTCACACAGTCTTCCAGGTGTGTGAACAACTACTAATAGGAGAGGGGGGCATATTGGTGTGCAAAATGCAGCAACAAATGGTCAGGGGTGATTTGCAAAGCCAGCGAAATGTCTCTTGCATTGGAATTGATCTCTGAGGAGGGGTTGGAGGTTTTTCTCTCTGTTCCATTCCTCTTATTCAGGAATGCACTCCTGCGTGATGAGTCAACGCTTTTGTTAGCGTTTTGAGTTTAACATTCGAGGGAATTTCTTCGAAACTGACCCATTAACCTTGTCCAAAGCAGTGCTGGCCCTTTCTGTTGTGACTGCTTTCTGAGCGCTTGCTTATGGAAGCAGGCGTGTGACTGCGTTTGCGAGGACCTGTCTGGCCAAGAGCCCGTCTGGTGCCCTAGAGCAGCTGTGAAAAGGGAAACCCTTGCCCAGTGTCAGGCTGGCACTGTCCTGGCCCTGCTCTACTGAGCGCCAGGTGGGTGCTTGTTGAAAGATTGTTTCACGAGGAGCAATTCATTGTAAGCCTTTTTTGGAGCAGAGACCCTGTACCAGCTTTGTCTGCCTGACTCTCACCCCTTTCTCCTGCTTGCTTCCAAGTGCATTCTTGCCTGGGTGGGCTTTCTGGTCTCTTTTCATTAAGAATAGGGAGGAAATAAGCATGTGCCTTTTTTGTTAAATTTGCTCAGCTTCCCTCAGAAGTGCTAAATGCTTCCAAGCAAAATAGATCATGACACATAAATCCTTATAAAAATCTCATTTACAGATTCATAGCCTTAGTACAGGGAGCAAATCCTGGCATTGTGTAGTAACTATAAACAGCACCTTATGATCTAATTATGATTTGTAGTGTCCCTAGCTATAAGAAGCGATAATCTCTCTCCCTCCTTTGGTGCAGAGGGAGAAGGGGATGAACAGGTAGCAGCTAATGCTAGCGCTGCTGCTGTGATTTATTCAGGAAGCAGAGTAGGCTGAGAGAAACGTGAAGATCTAGTGTTCAACAAAAAGAGAAATTAGTCTCATGGCTGTCTGGCCTCCAGTAGGCAGCATACCAAATGTGGGCAGGAAAACACTTATGAAATACATCTTTAATATTCTGATGTTCGCCGCAGTGTATGTTTGCAGCAGCTGTACTGTGATAGATGGTACCACAACTCCAAGAGCAGCTGCATCTGTTTAGTCAACTGCAGTAAAAGCAAAAACCACAAGAATGGATTATTTTTTGTTTGTAAAACCATTCCTAGGATTTGTTTTTATTTCTCCATAAATCATATATATGGCTCTTCCATCCTGCTCACAATTGATGCTTGGCTTAGTGCCATGTTTTGAAAGGGCAATAGGCTCTCCCTGTTTCTAAGCATCAAAATAAAGTTAAGCTACAGTTCTTACCTTCCATTCTTCACTCACTGGGTGCATGTGGATTTTCTGCATTGCTGTTGGAACCCTTTAGAAAATCATCGCCACGAAACCACACACGCTCCCATGAGAGACAGAGCGTATGGGCCAAATGTGATGGGAGGGTTTGCAGCATTGAATTCCCCTCGTCAGTTCCTGATGTACTTACCCCAGAGCTGTCTCCCCTTCTGTTGTCATGTTTTCTCCAAAACCATTTGTCTGCAGTAGTAGGATTTGGTCTTATTAAATTAGTTACGTTTTCATGTACATTTTAGCAATTAGCCACTGCAGCATTCAGTCATGCTGACATTTGCATTGTCTTTCAGATGCCAGTCTTACAGCTGAAATGTTTGAGCATGTGAGGCGTCTACCTGGAACTCAGTTCATGTACTTACTGCTCAGAACTAGTCTTTCACTTGACGTACTGAGAGTCCCCGTTCAGGTGAATGGGATTCCTGTGTGTGAAGTGAAGCAAGTGTAGAAGTATCATCTTAGAATGGGATTTGCAGGTTATGGGGTGTGAATTACAGAGTGGGCTAGTGTGCTTGGCTGTAACTTAACAGACCAGCTTCTAGTCGGTTTTCATTGCTACTAAAAGCAATGTTGTGAGCAGGACTGAAACTGACAAGAACCGTGGCCTCACTCTGCAAGAGAGGGGAAAGCAGATTTTTCTTCACCTACCAGCTGGAGGCAGCAAAAGGTAAAGTCCTAGAGCAGAGTCCTGGGATGGAGTAGAGGAAGCTCAGCACTTGACTTTTTCCATGAGTTAGATTGGAATAAAAAAATCAATGGTGGTACTATCCACTTGTTATACAGATACAACATTAAGCTAACAATAGATCATGCAGGACCTTCATTATATGGTTGTCCTTCTCCTTTCTTGCATGACTTGATTATGGGTGAAATAGCTGTTACTGGCATTTTTAAATTGTCATGCTTCAGGGCAAAGCTAGTCATCTCAAGGTTAGGAAGGAATTTTCCTGTGAGTAGATTACTCCGTATAGTCCTACTATAAGGTTTCTTGAATGCTTTTTTGAAGCAGTTGGTACTTACCATTATCAGAAGTGGGATATTGGACTAGATAAGAGTCCTAATTTTGCTCCAGTATGGCAGTTTCTTGGCTTATATGGTTGTCGTCATGCTTCAGAGTTAACATCTTTGAATTAATTAGCACAGTTTGCTTTCTTCAGACCATTTGCGGATTCAGGCAGACACCACTGCATTGTTTACATTTTGAAGGGCCTTTACAGTTATAAGGATCAGAGGCATACATGTTTTCTAATTGAAACCTTACCTTTCTGAAGATACAGTTTAGCATCGTTCTTTTTTAGCAGCTGGTTGTAGATTCTTGCCTGGGATTGCCTCTAGCAGAGCTCTTGTATCCTACGTCAGTTTTTTCTATCTGCCAAGGCTTGAAAAATCAATGTCTGGAGAGGGTGGTACAAATGAGTGAATAGGTGGAAGTGAGGGCATGAACAGGGATGCAGATGTGAGTGGAAAGAATGAGATTGATGGGATAGATTAGAAATGAAGTGTTCTGAATATGGGAGGGAAAGAATTGAAAGAGGTAATACAAGGTATGATGAGAGGGAAAAATGGACACAGAACAATGTAGAAAATCGCAGATTAGCAAACACATTTTTAATGAAAGCCTGTGTCTATAAGGCGATAGGTAGCATTGAAAACACGTTCATTAAAACCTACTGGCTGATGCGCTTTTCAAAACATCATCTGTTTTCCTAAGGTAGAAAAGCCCTACCAGGGTTACCAGTCTCGAAGGCCCTGTCCGTGCTGCCAGTCACACCAGTCCCGCGACAATGGAAGTGCTAGCTTAGACTAACTGACTATCAAAGCTGTAGTAATCTAAGCTAGTTACTATCTCTCAGCAAATTGGTGACCTACGTGAAATGGATCCGTGTCAGTTGAGTTCCTGCTACGTGCATCACAATTGACAGCTGGCACTTTTTCACGCCAGATGGGCCAAAAAATTAGGTGTATGTGTATTCTAAATTCTCTTACCCTTTCTGAGGTATTTTTGGGAACTAGGCTCAAAGCATATTGCTAGACTAGCAAAAGGAAGTTGGCACTAGTTTTGTCTATGTTGTACCTGTTAAAAAAAATTTCACTCCCCAGCATTTATCTGATGCCATAGTCTTCAAACTGCTCTATTCAATGTAAAATACAAACACAGCCTATGTGTTTTCTTATTCCTATTTAGAGATCTCCCTCAAACTTTCCTTTAAGTGTCATGATGGGGTGGCCTTTCAACTAAGGGTGCAAGGGATAGTTTGTTTTCTTTGTCGGCGGTTATAGTCTCCTTGACCTTTTACATCCTACAAAATGTAGTTTTGTGTCTCTGAGCTGTAAATTGCATTAATGGACTCCTGCTCTTGGCATCATGGTTGAAATTGTGGCTGTTAAGAGCTAAAAGGTTAAAATGCTTTTCCATTTTTAAAATTCTGGGTCTCTGAGAACAAAACCACACTAGGCACAGAGCAATGGACAACGTAAAACTTTATATCAAAGTAGCACTATTAATATTTTGAGATGTAAACTGCATAACGCAAGACAGTAAAATGACTTGTATGCTGAAAGGTTTGCTAAGTTTCTGATGCTTTCTGGAGTTTTTTCTCTTCTCTGAGTATTTTAATGAAAAACAACTGAGCCAAGTGTACATTGGGACAGCCCAAAGCAAAGATCCCAATTGCCCTCAGCTATTGCAAAAGGTATTTTTCATTTGTATGTAATAATGTAAAGTAAGATTGTTTGGGGTTTTCTCTTTTTTTAAAGCTGTATCAGCTGGAGTAGCTACCACAAGAACCTTCTAGCCAGCAGTGACTATGAAGGCACCGTCATCCTGTGGGATGGGTTCACAGGACAGAGGTCAAAGGTCTACCAGGTAAAGTGCAGTCATCAAGCTCTACCATTTTCCTCCTCTCCAGGGCACGGCCTTCAGGTTTGTGTGCATGTTACCGTTTCTGATTAAGGCGCTTCTGGTAGCGCACTCAGGGCGGGTGGTTCTGACTCCAGGAGATGCCGTGCCTGCCTCTACGGTCGGTGAATTGAATTTTACTCAGGTTGAACAGGAGGGAGCCACCATGTGCTTGACTTTCCTCTGTTGAGCAGCAATTCGCCAGCAGTGACCGAATTAGCTTCTTGTCACAATAGTGAGGCAGGTGGCAGCCTCTGAGCAAAGATGGAGTTGTGGCTAGTCCAGGGGTTGGGAGCCTTTCAAAGAACCACCCTTTTTCTGTTTTTGTCTCTGCCCAAAATATTTTAAGAGCTACGTCACACACAGGGCTACTTGTACACAGGCCCAAAGATAGCAGGTACACCGCAGATGACAGACAGATGCTGCCTTAAATAAAATAGAAATGAAATAAACTATATCTATTTACCTCCTCCTTCCCTCTCCCTCCCCCCCGTTATTCACTAACAATAGTTTTACTCTGCGTTTTGTTGTCCCTAAGACATTACGTAGTGACCCTGTTCTATTTAGTGAATTGCTTATTATAGACACATTCAGTTGTTTAAAATTGCTTTGAATCAAGTTAGAATTTATCAACTAATAATAACTGAACATATTAATGTTGTTACTGCTCTCCAGTAATGCAAAGTCTGCTGTTGGGCATCTTTAGAGAGTTGCCCTGGGAAGGGAGCTGGGGCGGGGGGGGGGATGAGGGATGCAAACTTTGGGCAGGAGTTTGGGTGCAGAAGGGGGCTTCAGGCTGGGGCAGAGTGTTGGGATGCAGGTGCTGGCTCTGGGAGAGAAGGGCTGGGGCAGGAGTACAGGAGGGGGCTTAGGGTGCTGGCTTTGGGTGGGGGCTCAGGGCTGGGGTTTGGGGTACCAGGAGAGGGCTGTGGGTAGTGTGTGGCCTCCGCTGAGCAGCACTTATCGGGGGTGGCTCCTGGTTGGCAATGCAGTAAGTCTGTCCCCACGCCACTCCCAGAAGGTTCCAACGTGCCCCTGTGGCCATGGGGGCGGGGGGCTTGTGGGTCTGTGTGCTGCTTCCCTTTCCCAGCACCCCCTTTCAGCTCCCATTAGCCACAGTTCCCTGTTCCTGGCCAGGCGGGCTGCTAGGGGGGTGCTTTCCCTCTCCTCTGGTCCCTTCCATGCTGCCGGGGTGCTCTCCTTCCTGGCCCTTCATTATGAGATGCATTCTAATTGTATTTAGAGAATTCATCCACGTTTCACTCAGAGAGCGAAGGCCCCAAGGGAGCAGTAACAAACCAACATACCCTGTCATAAGTAGGGTCCCCTGACATGAGCAAAGAAGCAGTCCTTTAAAAAAAGAAAGTTCTGATTGTAGTGCTGCCCTCTTTCTGGGCTTTTCTTAAATTGCACATGCATCAGTTTGAGAGAGACATTTATTTAAGATCCCTGCTTGTGATAGTGAATGACCATATTAAGAAATTCCATTTTAATTCATAACAGACTGTATGTGTTTTGCTCTATGTCTGTTAACACTGTTCTGTGTTTCAAATAGTTTCCTCTTTCTCAAAACAGGAGCATGAGAAAAGGTGCTGGAGTGTTGACTTTAACTTGATGGACCCCAAGCTATTGGCTTCTGGCTCTGATGATGCAAAAGGTATTTTGATTTTAAATTCTAGTGCCGAAGGCTGAACTTTGTAGGGAATACAGAGTGATTGTCAAGCAAGGATGTTTCAAGTCATGATTCCTTGGTTTACTTGGGATAGTGCAGCTGATTTGCTTAGGGTATTATAAAACAATTGAGGATTCGATGGAAAAGAGCTTTCTCTAGAGTTAGCTGAAAAAGGGAATGAATACCTGTCCTTGGGGGAAAATGTGGGTTTTTAACGCCTGCTTCAGGGGAATCCTAATGGAGTATTTTAGCTTTCTCGCTGCCTGCACTTGTCAGTGGTTGAATTGTGATAAAGCTACAGATCTTGGGCACTCAACCTGCAGCTCCTGGAACAGGAAAGAGACCGGCACCTTGGCTCTGATGCTCATCCGCCTGGAGCTAGTGTGGGGCACACTGCCCTGATGTTCTGCCTTGCACTCTGAAAACTTTTGTCAATTTCACTGGCTGAAAGTGAACATAACACAAGCCTCCCCGTGGGCTGCTGTCATTGTGGTTCCCTCCTATCCCTCCCATCATAGAAAATCAAAATCTTTCAGAACAATTGAAAAGTTCTCTTGAAAAATCTTGGTTTTGTTTTTTAAAATAAAATGGGCACGTTTCACTGGAAAAATTATTCAGATGAAAATTTTGGACTGGCTTTAGACTGGCTTGGGATTTTAGGGAAAGTTGTACATCATGGTAGCTAGTACAGTCCAACTGTGTCTTCTAAAACTCTGGTGTAGGCAAGGCAAGTTTTACTTCAGAGGTAGGCCAGACTGGTGGAGTTGAAGATTGTTGGGGCTTTGGTAAAACCCATGTTATGTACAAGAAAGGGAGTGGCTACAAATAAACGGATGGAGACTAGGAATGTCCCCCTCACTTTTATCTACGTCTTTATGGTAAACGACAAAGCATTAAGGTTCGTGCCCGCTAGAAACACCTTATCTCTGTGGGATGTATGACGTGTTTTTGGGAAATTCAGTGAACAAAATTGGGTGGTGGGCGGGAAGGCCTGGAGAGAGCAGGAGCCGATGTTGGGAATGAGTTGCTCCTTGTCATCCCTCCTCCCAAGACTCCTGCTGGGCCCTATTTCCTCAGGTTTTTGAAGCTCTCACAAGGCTCACCCTTGTGCCCCGCTGTTTGAGCACTGCACATGGGAAGCAATAAAGCGTCTCTAAAGGGGGAATTGATAGAGCTAAATTACGTCCTCTTTCTTAAGAGCAGGGTTTTATTTGCAGCCAGTCTACAATATGGCATGAGTTATCAGGCAGCCATTGCTTTTTGAGTTCCTCTTGCGGCCACTGGGGATCAAGTCTCCCACATGGGCAAACGCCACTTTGGACAGAGCTGCTCATGATTTACTTTGAAATGACAAATTAATTTTTCATAAAACATTAAACCTTGCAAACCTCTGCCCCCTAAATTGCTTTTAAATTCTGTTTCAAAAGGAAGTCATATTAATGTTACTTAAATGTGTTTGACATTCTCGGGGTAATTGGTAATTTCGCTTACAAAATGCAGCCTTTATGATTTCGTATTATGGAGATTTTTTTTTAATGGCTTTTAATAGATTTTTTTTTTCTTTTTGGTGCACGTCTAGACTGTTGCCTTTACAATCAAATGTAGTAAGAAAAAGTCCCTCCATATAAATGATCGACCTTTTCATCATTTTGCTCCCCATTCATGCAGTGCATTTTAAAAAGAGCTTGCCTTTTATTAGCATGGTAAAGAGCTGTCCGCCTGAGCTGACTTTACAAAACAGGGCCTCGCATCACAGCTTAACAATTCTCTTCTGCAGAAACTGTTTTTAAAAAGTGCAGTGTTTACACCTATGAATTATGTATGTATAAAGCCCTGTGTTCTCTATACACATCTTGCATGTCTATTCAAATAGCGGTTCTTTTTTTTAAAGGTGTATAGACTTTTTTTCTGATCAGGCCTGGGTTAGTGTTTCGTTCCTCTCCTCCTCGTGCAGTCTTGTCACTATTTACATATATAACTAGGATATCCAGATGAATGCCAGAACTGGAGACCCATCTAAAAGTACTTTAAATAAGTATAGGCTTTTAAAAAGCTGTAGTAGAGAACTTGGTTTGCCAGGCACCTGTTAGCCAAATGTCAAAACCTGCCACCCAAAGTTCATAGAGACAATCTGGTCGAGGTTAACACCTGGTGGGAAGCCCAGCATTAACATTCCCTTCTTCCTCACAACAACCTACCCCCGATGCTTCAATATGTGAGCGCTGAGCTTTCTATCTGTAATCATTGGCCTTGTCTGTAATGTGGTAAATTTTCCCTTTCCTGGTTTTCTGGTAAAGGATGGGGGTGAGATCTTCCCTCCACCACCAGCTCCTTTCCCAGTGGCTGGGTGTGGCAGCCTTACTGAAACCTCCCTCATCCCTGCAGGATGGTACCCATCTCCCCCTTTTTGGCTGCCTGGGGACTTGGTGCGCTGCCAAACCCTTTGCCACATACACACATGGAGGAGAGTAATCCTGTAATCACTGAGCTGCGCCCTTCTCCGCCAAGGACCAGACATTGCAGAGGAAAGCACAGAGCAGCGGCACCCCGCTGGAACAGAGAGAGTCTGATCTAATTACAGACAGCACACCAGGGCTCTGCGCACCATTCCGTTCTCCTCCTCAATCAAGGATAACCCAGAATGCGTTTCTGGGAGTCCTTTGTACTCTCTTCCATAGGAGAGATTTGGAGCATAGAATCCCTCTCTCCAATTGCCTATTGTATTTAAAAGCAAATGATCAGTGTAGTTGGCAGTATTTGTAGATCTGTCTGCTGCTAGAGAGAGAGCTGAGATGGATACAAACAAACCCAGCAGTCACGTTGGCCCATGTTAGCAGAGCCCTGAGAAGCTGCAGAGCATTCTTTTCTTGGGGTATTTCTATCCAGTCGAAGGCTTTAATTCCAGTTTAACCATGGCTTTTATGAACTATGCTGAGTCGTGGCTGCCTTAGGTAGTTGACCTTGAAATTGTACATAAAAATGTAAAAATACCTACTTTTTTTCTGAAACGTATAGAAAGGAACCTTGTGGGTATCAGATGTGCTATTGCTGCATATTGGGACCCTCTGAACCACAGTAAGCGGGAAAAGTTAGAGGTCCTGAGGCTTGACAGAACATTTTAGAAGATGGTTGTGAATTCATCTGCTGGAAACTCTTGAGGTCTCTGGACCAGTCCCTGGTGGAGATGACCGGATCTTTGTTCTCCCCTAGTGGTTGTGTTTTGAAGAAGATCAGAGAACCGCAATGTTGTCATGGTCTTGCAGTCTCTACCCTGCATACGCTTGAGGTGTTCCTGGCATGTGCAGACACCTACCGCCAAACATCATTACATAAGATTGATGGTATGAATAAGTGGCCATTAAAACCAACAGAAGTTTGGGGGGGGGAGAATCCCCGGGGACTAGTATTGATCTTGAATTCTTACTATTGTAAATTCGCTTTTATTGCCCCATTTCAAACAGTGGATGGGAATTTAAATCCAGTTCATCAGAGCAGTTTTCTTCCTCAAATTGAAAAGTAATTGTCAGCCATAAGCTCTGTTCCCTCTTCAATATTTTTGACACTTCTTACCAATAATGTAACTTGCAGCCATTGGAATGGTCATTGATTGAAGCTGCCTGTGACTGACGGTGAAACGTGCTTTTAATAAAAATCATTCCGAAGCAAGTTTGGTAACCTAGTCATAGCCACAGAAGTGGCTTGTAGGGACTGGCAGGAGGCTGTTCTGCTCTTTCAGTAGGCAGCATTGAAAATATGCAAAAAAAGCGGCATTTTGATTAAACAAAGGATAGAAGGGCAGCATACATACATACCTCTCAACATTCAAACCTGCCAGCTTGCGACAGACATTCAAAATGGGCCAAATTTTCTCGGTACTTATGGGATGTTATGCCAAAACTGATACCATGATGATATTTTTGGACTATAAAAACAGTTATAGGGATGTTTCCTCATTGGTTAAGCGCTGGAATAAATTGCCTAGGGAGGCTGTGGGATCTCCAGTAATGGAGATTTTTAAGAGCGGGTTAGATAACACCATCAGGGCTGGGCTAGGTAATACTTAGCCCTGCTGTGAGTGCAAGGGATTGAATTAGATGACCTCTCCGGGTCCCTTCCAGTCCTGTGATTCTATTCTAACACTCCAGTACGCTTGAAAACTCGGTGGGAGTTTACTTATTTTCATTCTCACTCGGGAGGAGGACTGACGGTCTGTATGTGAACTGCTTTCTCGTCATGTAAACTGGTGAAATTAAAATATCTCGATAGAGAGGATATAGAAATGATGAATAGGTGGCAGTTCGGGGCACACTTAAACATGTTGAGTAGTTGCAGTGAACTCAGTGGGTTAGTTCAGGGTTGTAGAACTGGGTCCATGGAAAGGAAGGTTTGCCCGGTGATTGGGGCGCTGTATTTGAAATTGGAAAATCAGTGTTCCGTTCCCAGCTTTGTCTCAGACGTATTTCACCTTGAACAAGTCTGTTGGGGCTTAATTTTCAAGAATGGCCTTCCCACAGATTTTCCTTGGAGCTGTCGGTGCACATTGCTTCTGAAAATCAGGTTAGTTTCTCATGCCTCGGTTCAAAGTTAGGGGGCAGGTGTGGGTAGGGGAGAAGAAATCGCCACAAGCTGATGGCCTTGGGCAGGTTATTGTCAGAGACCTGTATGTTCCGCAGCTATGGCGTCCTGCAACTTGCTGTGGACTCTTACTCTTGCCTACCAATTGTAACAAATCTCACGTTGGTTTTTATGAGCATCGGCGTTGATTAAACAGCCAGATGAGCTCACCAGGCTCATTCTCCTCCTTGGGATCTGAAGATGATTTAAATGAAATCGTGCAGAGGTGAAAGGCCAGCGTGCTGAAAACGGAGCCCCTGATTTATTTGGTACAAAATTAAGACCCAAGTATCTATTTGTTACATTGACGTGGTGCCAAAAAGAGAATTCTCCCTATCGAATGCAGCGTCTAACTTGTAGAACTTAAATGCAAGGCTGCCTGATCAGAATTCAAACAAGTGGCTTTATGCAAAGTAAATTTGCAAGGGGCACTGCTATGAGTTCATTTGATTCCTATGCGTACTAATAGAACCCTCTAGCTTTCAATCTGAGGCGCTTTGTCTCCTGGCATTGCGTGTTTTTAAACCACAGAAATCAGAATGACTTGCTTTCCTGTGCCATCAAATCAATAATGCTTAATGTCCTCTGCTGTCGCTGCGACATACACTGCCCTTCTGTTGGCATCTCTTCTTTAACGCAGGAAGCAAAAGCTTCTATTTGCTCGCAAAATTCACTCCTGCCCCCAGACTCCAGATGGGGCACTAGATCATCTAGTGTCCCTTGGAGCCAGAGAAGATTCAGGCCACCCTTGCAAAGCTGTTCATTATTTTTAATGGAGCTGGTTGTTTATAGTGTATACTAGACTTTTGGTAAATAAGAGAATGAGTTATTGTGTGGAAATTGCCTGCAATTTATCTCTCTCTCCATAATTCTTGTATGCAAATGTAGTATGGATCAGCATCAGCGTTTGATGGGTATATGGGCTACTTTGTAATGGCACCAGACATCTGTCAGGTATTCCCACTGTGCTGCTGTTAAAGGATGCATCCGCATGCTCTAAGCATTGCCGTTTCGCTCACATCTGTGAAACAATCCTCCAAAGATGGCCAGAATTAGGGCAGCGCTGCCTCTCCTTCCTGGGGTAAACTTTTTTTTTTTAAGAGGAGGAGGAGGGAAGAGTCCACTACCTTCCTGTGGATACACTGTCTCCAAGCTTAGCGGTTCTGTAGGCATCTTCCCAGAGGTTGTGTCCATCTTCCCTATACACACCCTCTCTCCTCCTCCTCTTCTACCCTACCGGGAAGTGGAAAAACTAATAGAATGGGGCTGGAGCAATATTTTTGTTTGTTTTTCTTGGAGCCAAAGCAGAATTGTGCTTTTTCCTCACCCTTCTCCTGGCCATCCTTCTCCCGTATCTCCTCAAGCCCTCTCTGCCTCCTACACAAAGAGCCCTCCACACAGAGGAGGAAACTGTGTCTACAGAGGACCTATCACATGCAAATCTGAGTGAGCCCAGGCTGTTCCCATACGCTTCCTGGGGAGAACAGCTTCTCTGCATGGCCACTATCCAATGTGTAGTTCCCTTACTCCCTGCTAGAGCAAAGAGGGAAACGGGGAGGTATAGACTCACTCTTAATCAGTCTCTTTGGGCATGTCTAAACTACGGGGTTTTTTCAAAAGAGGATATGCAAATTCCTGCAGGAATTTGCATATCTTCTTCTGATCTCACTTTCGAAAGAGAAAGTAGTCTGGATGCGGGTGTTTTTTCTTGGGGAGGGGAACCCTTTTTCGAAAATCATGTAAACCTCCTTTTTCAAGTTTTTAAGAGGGTTTTTTCCAGAAAAAACTGCACCCAGACTACTTTCACTTTCAAAAGAGATCAGAAGAAGATATGCAAATTCCCAGGGAATTTGTATATCCTCTTTCGAAAATTCTACGTTGTCTAGACATAGCCTTACTCAGGCAGCTCGTAGGAGAATGCAGCAGCACGCTGCCCCTTTCTCAGGGCTCCTGGTAAAGCAGTGATTAGCCCACAGTTTACAAAGTGTGTCATCTCCCTTACAGTCCAGGGCTAGCCGTGTGGATAATGTTTCATGTGCCTTGCCTTTGTGGGTTTAAATATGCAACTTAAAATGTGTACATGCAGCTATTAAGGGAAAACACTGAAGGGCCTCGAAGACTCCATTGCTTTGTATTTGTGAGGCTTGCGGAAGCAGGCTTAAAATACAACCCGTGTGTGTGTGCGCGCGCGCCATTCCCCTTGTGGAGTACAAGTTAATCTTTCTTTATATTTATCTACACAATAGCTGTGCACATGGATTGAATTAAAATGTAGGGAAGGTGAAACTCCTGCGCTACTCTTTCTCCCCAGTACCCATCTGTGAAGAATGGAAAACAAATTGTTCTTACTAGTTGTGTTAATAGGTAGATTTCAATGACTGTGCAGAGTGGTTACAACTGAGCATGGAGCGGGAGTTCTTCAGAGCACAGTTGGATGGCAGAGAGTAGGTAGAATATCAGCCTCCTTGCTCTTGGTTGTGAAAGACTGTGGGCTGGTAGCTTTGGGCGTGCCGTGATTACAGTCTGCTGCTAATCACCTGCAGGAGGTTCCAAACACCACAGGGATGTGGGCTTGAATGCTGTGCTGCTGTTTATCGAGTGTAGAGAGAGGGCAAAATATTATTCTCCTTGAGAATGTGCTGAGAATTGATCATCGGCAGCTAAAAGTTGCCTCTTTTGTACCCACTCATTTTTTTTTTTTTTAACATCTCAAAGATACTCATGAAAATCCCTGTAGGCCAAGTGGGTGGTGCGTGTCTGTGGGACCCTCTTTGTGTACTGACCGTGGCTTTTACATTTTTCAGAAAGCACTTTGATCATCACTTACCCGTTTTTACCACTTTTGTTTCTCCTCAGTGAAGCTGTGGTCTACCAACCTGGATAATTCAGTTGCGAGTATTGAGGCCAAGGCTAATGTGTGTTGCGTCAAATTCAGCCCCTCTTCGAGATACCATCTGGCTTTTGGCTGTGCAGGTAGGTAACAGTGTTTTTCTAGAGGAGGGGTAAGGGAGGAACAGAATCCCTCAAGTTTCAGGCTACACCTGTTTGCATCCAAATAAGAGATTCCTTTGAGGCCAGACTCCTTCAAAGGCTTCTGGGCCAGATTTTCAATTGCTGGTCACCCCCCGCGCGGCTTGGATTTCTGCAAGTGTTCTGAGCCACTGTGACACTGAGGTGGCCAGTTTTTGAAAACCTGCTCAGTAATTTTGATACCTGCGTGGAAGCCGAGATCACATGAAAAATCTGACTTGTAGCGCATTCGTTGAAATCCGAAGTCCTTCGCCCAGGGCCCAACCCTGCAGTAGCTTGCTGCCTCCTCGCTATGTGCACCTTTAAAGTCTTAGCGTGAGTCAGCAGGCGGCACATAGATACTTGGGTGGCGGTTGGCTGATGTGAGGCAGATTCCTAACTCATTTTACTGTTGTGCAGTGGCTTTTTTTGTTTGTCAACAAAAGCAGAAAGTTACTGAGAAACGAATATGTCCAAGTCTTACATACTTGTTTACTCTTAGCAATTGTGTTGGTCTGTCTTGCCTGGAGAATAGTTGCAGATATGTATTGCTGCATGTGGGGCTCTGTAAATAATACTGGGCTAAGGGCGCAGTTGTGGTTGCATATCCATTGCCCTTGTGAGGCACTGGTGTAATGTATGTTTCCAACATCTGGCGTGGAGTTTTACTCTGTCCTGGTCGCTATCACACACCTGCTTCTACTCCTCTGGATCAAGAGTGGGATCTTGGCTAACTGTGACTTTCTGGGGGCAGCCCTGAGATGGGGATTATGGGGAGGAAATGACATTGATTTAAAATAGCAGACGTTGATGACCACACTAGGTCGTCAATGTGGATTTAGTTTTAGGAGTGTGTGAGCCTAATTTATTTTCATACATGGAAACTGAGTAAAGCAGTGTGCTGTGCCATAACAATATCTCTGCATTTCCTCCTTCCTGTGGGTTTTAAAGCACTCCTAGCAAAAATTTCTGATGTTTTGTGCACTCTGAATTTTTGAAGGTACTTTCTGGTCCAGCATGGCTGGAAGTGCAGTCTTGACATCCCCCTCTCGGTCCCCCCCGCCCCCTCAGCCCGGAAAACTCCCTGGTTCAAGACCACTCATGTCCTGAGGGTTCCGGACCAGAGAGGTTCAACCTGTATTTGGAAATTTTTAGAAGACTCTGCACTCTGAGAATGAGAGGTTTGACTAAAATGCCGTGGAGCAAAATTGCATTAATAATGGGGAGAAGTGGCAGGAGAGGGGAAGAAATAAGAGGAGATCGATGTGTTTACTTTCTACTTGGTACTCGTAGGGGAGTTGAATCTATAAAACCAAGTTAAAATGGATATCTGGCCACTTAATGCTTTGCTAAAAGAATCTGGAGGTACTGAAATGATCGGAATGACTTGCCCATAGAGGCACTCCTAATGGATCTTGCAGTCACCAACTTGTATGACACTGACTTATCGGCTAGTTAATAGAACGGAATAATTTAAGATATGGAACCCATTTTTAAACTTTACAGTGAAATGAAATTTCTGTGTTAAATGCAGATGCAGTCTGCATACAGTTCATGGTATTGCTGGGTAGGCAAATGGATAGTTATTTTATTTCTCATATTTCCCTTTCATATACCATTTTCAAATAATTTTATAATGCTTACAAACTTCATTTATTTTAGAAGGAAGGAAATAGGGTTGTAAATTTAATAGTTGGAGCTGCTTTTAGGCAATAAAAACTAATAAGGGAATAATAAAAAAGGCTTTCAAGAGAGCAGTATATCCCCCTTTGAAGGAAATGCCAGATCAGAAACATACAATCCCATTTTGCCATCCCCCCATGGGAGCTAGGACTGTCTGTAAAACAAACTCATTGATTGAGAACTGAAGTAATGCGCTACCGTTATGTAAAATGTAGCATATTTGTCATCCAACCCCGTATACATTTGTGGCAATTTTTTCCCTATTAGGTAAATTAATATTTCAATTATTTTTTAATGGTATAATTAATTTGTAATAAAATAGCCAATACTTTATGGCATTACACTTGCAGTAGTGTTCTTTGAAAAGGTTATGAATGGAAATCCTACTGCAGCCCTCGCTTTGCCTTACCTTTCCTCTGCTACTTTTTGGTTTGCAGTACTTTACATGGGGGAAAGGGGAATGCTGCGCACTTTAAAGGGCTGAGAGCTCGTGTAACGGCCAATTATCCATGTGCTACACAGCGAGCATAGCAGATGCGGTTGTATCGAAAACCAACAATAGAACACCACTTTCCCCACCTCTAATATCATTAATTCACAGACACTTACCTTCCTTCCTTCCCCCCCCATCCCCCTCCTGTTCTGAAATGTGATTTGTCCTTTTCATATGTTTTCGCTTTTTTAAATTGTATCCTTTGGTATATATGGTTGTGACTACTTTCTTCCACTATTTGATCTGAGGAAGTGGGTCTGGCCCACGAAAGCTCATCATCTAATAAACCATCTTGTTAGTCTTTAAAGTGCTACATTGTCCTGCATTTTCCTTCAACTACCCCAGACTAACACGGCTACATTTCTATCACCAATCTGGAGGGGAGCTAGAGCGTTAGTGTGGGAACCTTGAGTCTCGAGGGCCACACTCACGTGAGCTGGGGTATTAGGTTCCTCACCCCTGCTTTAAAAACAAAACCTCTTACTCTTAAAAATCGATCCCCGTATCTCTGGTCGGACCACCTTCACGCAGGTCCTCCGGGATGGAAAACTGCAGCAAACTGTATGAACAGAAACAAACAGAAGCCCCAATCGCAGCTGGAGGTGGGGCGAGGCTGCCCCAGCAGGGACACAACGGGGCAGCCGCCCTCCACCAGATCAGGAAAACAACCGCGCCATTCCCCGGCCAGCAGGAAGGCGAGTGCCGCTGCAAGGCTCCGCAAGGGAGGTGGGCGGCAGAGGGGTGTTTGTGCGCCTTGGATTTTTGTGCTCTAATTCAATGGTCTTAAGAGCTAATATGTACCTCAAGCAAGGGCTAGGTGCTTGCAATCCCATTTATCCTTAAGATATGGTGTGGGGACTTGCATAAAGGAAATGTGCACCCTTGTGCTTTGTGGATATGCTGTTGTATCGATCACCAAATAAAAGGATTGTACTGAAGTACTGAGGTGATTGATTCTGATCAAAGGCCAGGCAGCAAACATTTTGGTACAGTCTCTGTGAATTAGGGCTCTCTGCTCTAGTAGCTTTGGCTACTGTTTTCCTACTGATAAATCGCTGCAGGTCTGACCATTGTAGTTCATATCATACAATTCCTTTTGATGCAGAACAATCCTTTATATTGAACTCCACTCCTGCCTCTGTCTCTTAATTAGTGGCAAGAGGAGAAAATGGCGACGGATGATGTAATGGCCATTTCTAAATGGAGGATCGGTGGTCTGGTAGGCAGAACTGTGCATTGAGAGTCAGAATATTTGGGTTCTGTTTGTGCCTCTGTCACTAGTGCACTTGACTCTTTGGGCAAGTCACTGATGCCCTCAGACTCATTTTACGTAATGGAAATAATTGTCACAGCAAAGGTATATTGAGACTGAGCAGGCGGTTAAGATTTTTGAGATAACGTTGAATGGGTTGTATAATTATCTGCTATATAATGGAGAGAGTGAGCGAGTCTGAAGAACTCCTCCTAAATGGTAAGAGCTAGGTTACCAAATTTGGCAAGCAGCTTCTTATCCTTACTTAAAGTAAGGTCAGGGTTGTGCCAGGACAATAGGATGTGCCTGGAATGCAACTGTTGCTCATAAAATGGAAAAGGAGGGTTCTATTAGCAGGGACAGTAATATTGTATAATGCCCACATGAGGGCAGCAAGGAGCCAGAAATGGGGATCAGGACAGCTATAATCCCATTGAGGCAGCAGGTATGGATGTTAAATTGTGTGTAATTGGCTAATCGAGTAGTCGATGGAATTTCCATTGATTACTCGATTAGTTGATGAGGGGGAAAATTGCGGAGCCATAACAACCCTGGAAGCAAACCCTGCTGCGGCTCTGCCTTTTGAATGTATTAAGAGCTACCAGACTCTTAATACTTTTAAGGCAGCGGCGTAATGAGGGGCCTGGATGCGAGACAGGAAACAGCAGTCCTGGCTTGCTCCCTGTCCCCCCACGCTGCACTCCTGCTTTTTAAATGTATTAAGAACCTGGCTTTAAGCCGGCTCCTCCCAGTACCAGTTCCTGCTCCCCCTCCCCTTGCTGCCTCTCTGTGATAGAGGCAGTAAGGCGAGAGGGTGGAGGGAGAAAGCAGTGACTACTTGAGTACCTGTGCTTATCGGGTACTTAGTCGACTAGTTGCTTACATCCCCAGCAGCAGGGAGCAGGGGTGGAGAATGGAATAGCTATCTACCATAGATTTCAGAGACTACCCCAGCCTTCTCTCACCATAGCAGCTTGGGACCAGGTGAGAAGAACCTGTCTGCAGCCGCTGCAGCAGGCATAGCCATGGGAGGGTGCATGTCCCCTGGCAGGGGAACATACAGAAAGACAAACTCTCTCAAATATATAATAGACAGCTAGACCTTTCTCCACCCCTGCTGCCTCAGTGGGAGTATAGCTGTCCTGGCCCTATTTCTTGTCCTGGTACAACCAAACCTTGATCTTGCTTTAAGTTAGGAGAAGAGGAAGCTGCCTGCCAAATTTGGTGGCTCTAGCTCATACCATTTAAGAGGAGTTCTTCAGTGAACACACAGATGCACTCAGACAAACTCTCAAATATATCGTAGATTTACATACGTGCATGTCTGCTGCCATATGAAGAATTGAACTAAGCTCACACTAGGTGCCCTGGAGAGTGAGTGGTCCCATAGCTGCCACGTTATTCCCTCTAGGAGTCAACTCATGGGGACATAGTGGTTGATGTGATTTTTTTTTTTGTTTGTTTTTGTTATTGAACAGTTGACTCTGTTTGAAAAGCCTTGTCAAAATGAGCTTTTGGTGATCAAGATAAAATAGA